GTTGCTTCACCTCATCAAGCGCAGCGAATATCACTGTAGGAGCTACATTCAGTACTGGACCCCTTGAGACTGACCAAGACACGTACCTTTGTCAATGAGTACTGGACTCACAAGTCCAGCCCGCGACATCTCTTTGCGACGTATAAAGGGAGTCACGGTGATATATGCGACGTACACCTACGAGTTTACAATATCAAAGTATTTCCGTATTCAACTGTAGACGTCGAAAATAGCTGCTTGCTGGACGATGAGTGCGATGGATAAGGAGAGCTCGGTGGAATCGATGCATCCAGCATAGGAGGTTGGAGATGGTGCACCCAAGGCTGCCAAGTACTCGAAGTAATTTCTCAGCGCTCGCCACAAGAACTCTTTGCAACGACTGCGCATCATGTCCGTGGTGCATAGTGTCGATCGCTTCTTTGACCAGAGCTCGCACACCGCAACGAAACCTCATCGAACTCGCATGGCTGACCAAACTGATATAGCATACTCGAGAACACAAATTGGAGCTGATGGTACATAGACGTCAGGGCCTCAATTCTGGATTCCACAGATCTCACCGTGAAGTTCAGGCGTGGTTTGTCCGATTTATTTCTCAGCTCTTCTTTGGCGACTTCTCTTTGTTCTCCGAACGGAAGCGGCAAGAAAGACACTCAATGAACTGGTTATCATAATTTTATCCCTAGTATACTTACTTCGAGGCGATTACTATGATCTCTGACATCCTAATTGTTGCCACAATGGGGATGTGTACGATATATATTCCAACGCGAAATGCCATTACTTGTATTAAAACTCTCGAAGGCTCGACAGCCGCCATGCATTTGATATAGTATCGATCGTGATGAGCAGGCTCCTTACATACGATATTCAAATGCTCTCGGCCTTGATGGGTAATACCTTGCTTCGTACCAGGGCTGAGGACCGAGGTCTCTGCGCGTGAATAAATAATAAAACAGAAACAGTCCTAGATGAAAACCCCGGTCAACAGTGACGTAGAGAATGGCTAGGACTCAGCGAGTCGAATAGTTGATAAATCTGACAATACGTACGAGAAACATAATAGCCAGGTGCATTGAGGAATGCAAAGGTCCAAGCGATGGCACCGATCATCATCACCAAGCGAGGAAGAAAGAATCCAACGTAGAGAAGCGAGGTAACGACAAGGGTGAAGAGATAGATGTTAAGCATGCGATCCAGTGAGGCAACAAGACCTGGGAAGTGAAATGGCTGTAGCAGAACGGCGGGTAAGATGACCCCCGTGCCGTAGGGATGTTCCATAACTGCAGATACAGCGTTAGTAGTCCACAGATAGGTATGCGCTGACTTGACTCACCGAACATCTTCGCCACATATAAGTATGAGCGAGCTACACGGGACGTCGAAAGGTGGCGTTCAGTTGGTTCCAATCCAGGTCGAGTAACAAACTCGAAGAACCTGCAATTCTTTGCTTACCATGGTCTACTGCAATTACCATGAACCCAGGGAAAGATACCACAATGTACAGAAGCAGGATAGCAAGCAGGATAGATACATATATCTCGAAGACGCGGTTGAGGAAAGAGACGAGACGGGGGTAGTGGAATGGTTGCAGCGCGAGGACAGGTACGAGTAACCCCACGGCATAAGGGTGCTTGGTGACTGTAATTACGATTCAAATCACAGAACGGCAGACAAGCACAGAGTCTATTTACCGCATATTTTTGCCTCGTCCAGGTAGAGATGAACTAAAAATGAAGTTCAAATGAGCATATATGTTTGTTTGTTATTCTCACGATCAAAGACCGAGATAATGAGAGATATACCGTGATCCACGACGAGCGTACCCAGAGTTTGGCACCATTCTGAAACGTTGTCGTTCCACATCTTCATACTCTGGGTATTGAGATCTAGAACCACACTCCGTTAGGTGCTCGTAGTGCCGAAAAGTAGAGCGCGGCCACTAAACTTGTGGGGATATCCTGTCGGGATTGCAGTGAGGTCGTCCGCAACTAGATAGTTGAAAGAAGAGGGTAAAAAAGAGGAGCAAAACGGACTCAGATGAAGAGGCCCAGGTGATTATACATCCGAAGAAGCGATGTGGGACGAAGCGACCCAACGAGCATGCAAAAGCTGGGAAGATCTTCTCAGTACTCGCCACAAGATCTCCTCAGGCATATGTCCCAAAACACTCGCGTTACCTTCGATGATCGGGGCATCCAGAAAATAATCCTCGCCTGTTGTGCATGGCCGACACGCACAGCACAGAAGCCACTACAGCAGGAGTGCGAAAACTTCTGAGGCTGGATAGAAGTCGTAATTCATAATGGGCATGCTCGTACCTGCTTGTTGTAGCCTGATCATCAACCGAACCAGAAACGCGAGGATGAAAGTATTTTTGTCGTGATTGTCGTGAACCTACCCGAATATACGGATAGGCGTAAGATACGAGACATGTCACCCGCTGGGGTTCAAAAATCAAACGAGCCAGACTATGTGCGCTTAACGAAACATTTCTGGAGTTAGTCACTTGCTGTCACTTGTCGTCATGCCACGGTAGTCGTTGGTGGGAGTTCAACGTTCATCGTTGATTGCCACAGCTCAACTGTCGGTCTGCGACACGCACAATGCACCATGGTGCGCTTGGGCCCGTTCCCGACGCGATACGGCCCCGACCGACGACCTGAGGGCATCTACGGGACGCCCTCGATGGGGGCGGTCGCCCCGTACCAAAAAAACCCCGGGTCGAAAGGAAAAAAATCGAACGCGAGCCGTTTAGGCCGGGGGGACCCCATTTCCGCCAAAAAGTCGAATTCTCGACGCGGAAAGGCCGCGTGGACCCCAAACTCGTCGCAGACTCACTCTATGGAGTGCAACGAGTGCCGAAACGCAAAAAAAGAAGAGGTCAAAAGGAAAGAAAAAAAAGCGCACCACGGCCAGAGGCGCACCATGCCCCCCGTCCGACCCCGGATCGGCAATTCCCACGGCGAACGCGCAGATATCGGCGAGGCGTTTGGTGGAGTTGATAGGGCACATACGTATGAGACTTTTGAGCCCGTCGCGAGCTTGATTGAACGAGAATTGATCGATTTTCGGCAAATTTTGGGTCTGGGGGCCACTCACCACCAGAAATGGCGATGGCGAGCCCGGTATTGCTCCGTCCAACGATGTCAGCATATCTACGATGTCACATTAGTGTATGGAATGAGAAACAACGCCAAAAACCGTACCGTAAACGTCAAAGTTCGGAGTTCGCGGTCTTTGGGTGGGAAGGGAGCCCCCCCCAGACAAAAAGTCGAAATTCGTCACAATAAGGAGCGCGCGGACCCCAAATTTGTTGCAGATACGATCTATGGAGTTCAACGAGTGCCTCAACGCGAAAAAAAGAGAAGAGCAAAAGGAAAGGTAAA